TTTAGAGTAATTTTGGAGCAGGACCTCTGAACCTGCACCTATTTCCACAAAAATATGCGACAATTAAATGACTCACTAAAAAGTTTGAAAATGATAGACGCAAACTTCAGAAACCCGCACAAATTGAGCTTACAAGTCACATCAGCCATGACAAGATACTTGGGGGGGGAGGGGGGGGGATCCCTTCCTTACACCCCCTCTTCTTCAGATGTCAGGTGAAGAGCAGACATTGACGATCATGGTAACCCGCTCCTTCCTATTGTCTGTCTTCTTGATCAACTAAGCTTTCCTCATAATTTGTGCTATTTGTTGCAAAGTTTTTCAGGGCATCTGTGTATGCTGTTCTTTGTATCACTCTGCTCTTCTTTCCCCTACCTTTCAAAACAACAGCAGTTTCTTTAATCCATTTGATCTCTTTACGTGACCACGGAATCTCCTTACAACGGTACGGTTCAAAATGTCCATGAAAATCCAGCCTTTGAATCCTTTTAAACAAAAGAGAAACGATCTTCTCGGGAAGAAACATAAAACAAAACAAAAAACCAAAAAAAAAGGAGGAGGGGATGGGTTGGGGGCGCTTCCTCGAACTTTCCGCCCTGGTCCGTATTTAGCCAAGAATGGGCTACGCAATAGTGTAAAATGAAAATGCCTTGACAATACTACTACTCCCGTCAGGTCAAAATGATACACGCGCACGCACGCTCAAGCAACAACAAACCACACATGAATGCGGTCACACAAAACACACAAGCACACACACACACACAAGCACACACACACACACACTGACAAACACACTCCATCAGGTTTCCTCCGTACTTTACGACGTGAGAGAAGGCACGGTTAGGTAAGGGGGGGGGGGGGAGAAACATTACTAGTGTACATATAGTTTTGCAAAGGCTTATGTATCGATAAATTAAAATAGGCCATTTTTAAGCAGTACTGACATGTGCCACATACAAGTACATGTATTATAAGGTATATCGGTTACCGGGTGCAATGATAATCACAGAAGAACCGAGTTTGAGTTACATCTATTAAAAACGAAGCACATCAACATCATGATGAACTATATTTATGTAGTTTATGTACACACATTGTATTGTGGGTGTCAGAAGGGAGAGGGTAATATGATATCAAAATACACGATATATATTGACCCAGCCAAGAGAGAGGCGCAGGATGACCGTTAGCGTCCAACAACCGCTAGCATCGAGAATGAGGCAAAAAGCGCAGCCGTGTTACGTTGACATTGTTCGAGGTACAATCATGTACACTACGCTGACGACGCACGGACCCCCCCAAAAAAAAATATTTAAAAAAAAAAAAAAATTTAAAAATTTAAAAAATAATACTAATAATTAATAAATAGATAGATTAATTTATTTATTTATTTATTCATTTATTTATTTTATTAATCTTTTTACAAAATACCAAAAGAAAAAAAAATCAAGTAAATTAATATTATGTATTTTTTTCAAGTAATTTTAAAAGCAAATCATACTAAATTATAACACTATGGCTCCAATAATTTAAGAAGAAGAACTTCTACCCTTGTGTTATTTCATCCCGTGACTATAGCACTTTCAGAACCCGAGCGCTACTGTGTGCAAGCTCAACAGGCCGCGCTGATAAAATTATTTCACTTCAATTGGTATCACCACCACACCGAACAGTAGGGCTGACGAGGGTTCGAACCCCCAACGAGTCAAGCTGGTTGCATGGGAAGATTTAGTTTTATGGCTCAGAAACTAACTTGGCTCGGTTCTCTTGGAAAATAAACGTGGAATTCGGTGGTCCCTCTTGTGAAATAACAATTTTATAGAGTACATTGAAATGTCCACACCATGCCACAGCGAGGCTCATCTCGTCATCTCTCCATGAAAGAGGCGTGTTGACATGCAAGACTGGCTTCGAATAATATTGGGAACAAAGGAGGATATCATGACACTTTGAATTCATTTGGAGAAATAAAAAACAGTCACGTATGGCACTAGGGGGGATTGGGTCGGGGTGTGATGAAAATAAGAGTCAATGGAGATAATCTCGTCCGGCCCTTTCAAAGCCAACACATAGTGTACAGCGCGGTTACATGAAGTTACTCTGGTTTTTGCACAATTGATTCTCTCTCTCTCTCTCTCTCTCTCTCTCTCTCTCTCTCTCCCTCTCTCTCTCCCCCTCACTCTCTCACACACACACTCACTTGACAGGTAGTGGTTGTAAAAAATTAAGTAGCAACAGTTTACAACCTCATCAACATTTTATTATTAAGATCATTTCATGAAACCGGCAGCTTCAATCCTTCCCGCCAATCTGGCTGTCTGAGTAGAATACTTAAACATCTGAAATTTAAATTAAAAAAAAAAAATCTTCCCCACATGGGAACCAAGCTCAAGTCTTTAGCAAACGATTTTTTAATGTATCCACATTCACATCGTAACATCTTATAATGAAAGGGAGAGAGAGAGAGAGAGAGAGAGAGAGAGAAAGAGAGAGAGGGGGGGGAGGGAAAGAGGAGGGAGAGAGGGGAGAGAGGGGGGAGAGAGGGAGAGAGGGAGAGAGGGAGAGAGGGAGAGAGGGAGCTCTTTCTTGTACAGATTACTCAAAATGGAAAACCATGACTAGCCAATCAAAAATACATGATGCCAATACCAAACACCACAAAATATACACTGCATTTAGAAACCCATAGTGACTGTTCACATGACCAATACATCAAATGTATCTTTGGACAAGCTGACCACTCACCCTTTTTCAGGGCACAGACGAATACAAAGGATTAGTAAGCTTTTCTGTGTGTTTTGTATATTTTAAGTCCAAACAACAACAGAACAGGGGGGAGGGGGGATCATAACCAATAAATACAAAATCAGCTTGCACAGAGATACCCTTAACTATATAACACTAAAAAAACAACAACAGGGGTAACATTAGCGAAGCACACAGCGTGTCAAAAGAACGGGACGCTCGACACACAAACAAGAAAGAGGACATCTCCTACAATAACAAATAATTACAAAAAGCAGCTTGTACAGAGATAAACTTACACTGGCAGCAGGACCGCATTCCTTACTGAGAAATGTGTCACTTGCAAAACAACTTCTAAAAAAAAAATAATAAAAAGTTTAAAATCCTCAAAAGCACCAGTAGTTTTCCGTCAGATTTTGTTTCTTTAGTCAGTTGATACTGAATGGCCCTGCTATAAAAGGTGCAAAATAAATAAGTCCTCAGAATCATCACTTTTCTATGACTTTGAGCCAGGGTTCCTTATAACCTCAGTTGATATCACACCCTAAACTACTGTATGGGTGACCCTGGTTCTAATGCTTAACAGTGAACAGGGCATTTGAAACTTCGGTTGCATTGCAAGTTTCAGTCATGGTTCCCACTCACTTGGTTTACAGTCATTTCAGAGATGAACATTGAAGCACCTCTCAAATATCCTAACTGTGTTCAAAGGTGTGTTGAACATAGAATGTACAATACATAATACTAATACAATACCATTTGATCAAAGTACAGAACCCAACTTGCAGCTGAACAATATCTGAGTAACTTTGAAAAATTAAAGCATTCTTGGTGTGTACCAATGAATTAGTAAATTAGTGTGTGTATGTTTGTGAAAGAACCCGTCCAACACAACAACCATCATTAAGGGAGGAGATGGTCATCTTAGACAGGTAGTCTTCTACGGCAGAGCAATAGAAAAAATGTAGGGGGAGAAGTGGAAGGTAATCATTTGTACAGTGATGTCTTGGACAGGTGGTTGTTAGAGCACATTGGTCTGCATATTGCATGGTGAGTGTAGATTCAAATACCTTTTTTTTAAAGGATATATATATAGCGTTCCTAAAACAAAACTTTTTAAAATTGAATATGTTTCCCAACATGCCCCCAAGACTCCTATAGTGAAAGTAAAGTTACTCCACCATATGGTGAGCTATATATATGCCATAATCCATGATCCTTGTACCCAATATTTTGAGTGCTTAAATCTAAACTACCAGTCACATTATGCACTACTCCAGAAATGACCATCGTTCCACTCATGACATAGATCTATATATGAAGATGAAACTAAGGAGCAAGACTAATAATTTTGCAGCGAAGTCAACTACTCATCATAAGACACTGCCAGAAAATACATGTTGCCCATATCCTTAGGGAACTTTTAAGTTATATTCTATACTTGATTCTCATCACGCGTTCGATCAGAAATTTCGTTCAGTGTCTTTCTGAACATTACTGAAAGGAGCATGCTTTCAAGAGCTGTTCAAAGTATAACTTTTCCATTAAGTTACCGACCATGAACAACTCACCTCCACTCGTGTCTTGCCAGGAACAGGAACTGGAGCACTCAGTAATCGAAGGATCCAGGTCTCAATTTCCCGCACTTCATGCATAACCAGGTGAGAAATGTTGTCACTTGTTTGCCCAGTCAACACTCCCCAAACAGTGTCCCTGATTAAAAACAACAGCTTCAATGTTAGTCCACTTAAACATTTAACAGCAAATCAGTGTTACATAAGATAAAAGGTGAGTTTAGTTTTGTTTGTGCATGGAGTAGCACATTCATGTACTATTACTACTATTAGTTATTTACAGATAGATAAAAACAGCAAAGGAAAAAGAAAGAAGTAGGAAATGTCAGAGGCACCCTCCAACAATCCACTGAAAAAGATGAGACTTCTGATTCAAAAGAGTCAAACCAAGTGGGATAGAGTCATAAAAACTCCTAAGACAGCTGAAGTTTCAAAAATGACTAGCTGGAGAATCTGACATGGGCCTTCTTCACCATGGTGAAGGCTATTACAAGCTCAGTTCACGCTACTCAACACGACTGTCTACAGCACAGTTCGAAACAATCTCAGCCCATACTATAAGCCCACTATCACCACAACTCCCGAGCCCTTATTCACAAAGAATGAAGAAAGATTGATGAGAGCATAACAGACAAAAATATATCACCTTGTTGCAACCCCAAACAGACAAACAAACAAAAACCTACAGTAAGAAGTAGAGTAGAGCTGTGTTTGGCAACAGTCCAGGTCAAATAACTAATAAATAGGGTTTCACACCTCTACGTTTTTTCATATTCACCAAAGAGCATTGAATTTACAGCTTTCTTAAGTGTATCTTTTTCTGAATAAAATTTTCAAAACCATGAGATCAATACTATATTTTCATGACAATGAGAGACAGCACAATGAACAATTCTTTCTAATATCTTACAACCATTAAACTTATACAAGTGAGTAAGTCGATAAGACAACACTATAACCTACTTCACAACAAACCCTGCACTGAAATCCCCATTCCCACACAACACACAAATACACTTTTGTAAGTGCAAACATCAAAATACTCAACATCAACTTTATTGTTTACCAAATAAAAGCTTCAACCAGGGAACTTTCTTTTTTTAAACTAACAGGTTGTACATCAGGTACATAGATAAAATTATAATTGAGCTTTTATGTATTATAAGTAAAAGAAGAACAAACATTTTTTTTCTTTTTTTTTTTCTGTGGCCCCCCCCCCCCCCCCCCCACACACACACACAAGAACTCATGATAAGAAGCTGACGAGTGACAGAAAATTCCTCACTCTGACAATCTACAACTCTAATAAACTTGACACATACACACCTGGTATGGCCTATTTCTCCAAAAAAAATTCTTAAATATATTTCCAAATCCTCACTGTTAAACGGGGTGGTAGAGCATTTAAGTAAAGCATGATTAAAAGAATTTGAGTATAAATATGTTGCACCCCAATCTATGAGTATTTTTTTTCTATAATACATATAACAAAAAAGGATCATATTCATTCGTCTAGCCTGGCATACAAATATTATAGACCCAAAAGGGGCTTACCTTGCTGTTGCCTTGGAACCACCAACTCTGCGCACACAACTTCGATCGTGACATGCTTCTATTAATCTGCGCAGGATGAACAAACATTCTCTGAACGTGGAAAAGAAAGGATGGTGGCTCACGATGCACAAAGACGTCAAGGTGTTGTTTCTAACTCGCGATTTCCGTCTAGCCCTGCTTGGGGAGCGAGGCCTGTCACATTCAGATGAGCTCAATGTCTCAACAGAGTGACTAGAACCTGTACTTGATTTGTCAACTTTCTGCCAGGCTTCTGATGAATGCGATCGCTTTTCAAATGGACGGTAAAAGTTGATGCAAATTCCGTAACGAACCAGGCCAGAGTCTTTCTCTGTCAATGTGAACACAAAAGATGTGGTTTCTCTGAGGCTCATCCGTTTGGGACCTACACTTATGCATCCCTCCGGTTGACAGAAAAAGATGACATCATTGGGAAGAGGAAAATCCTTGTGATCTTCCAGAGGATATCGTCGCAGAAGTTCTGGTGTCTGGGACATCTGGTTGTTCCCATTTGGAAATCGACAGCCAGCTATGACTAGGTAGTCCAGCAGGCGAGGGCAGAAGTATTTTCCTGAATCGCTCATCATCTTGAAAGTTTATCACATTAGTTTAGCAATTCTTGAACAAAAGAAGGCACTAAAGAAGAAACTGCTAGATATGGTAAATTGAAAATTCACAATAATCTAAGAAACAATGAATTTCTTGTAATTCCATCAAACATGAGAGAAGCAGTTCCTGAGGAAAAGGCACTCATTTTGTCTGTAATATGTACACTGAGAGTCAATCCTGAATAAGTTCTTTCGCAATCATTGCAAGGATTGACAGATGTTTAGAGGAGCCCCTGAAAGAAGAAAACACAAAAGAAGTTTTCAACAAAGCAAACATGATAAAGATGGTTAGTTAAGTGAATGGACTAAGACAGGAGAATTGCCAATTTGAACAAATTGTATTTATTATAAAAACAAACTTACTACACAATAAAACCAGTTCATAAAGCACTTAGGACACAATTTCACCACAACATAATACTACTTATTTAATGATTTTCAATAAAAAGGTGATGACGTTTTCAATCAAAAGAAAAATTCCATAAATTACACCTTCCCTGAAATTGCATTTAAGAGTAAAAAATCAGTAGAAGTGTAAATTATCTGCAGTAGTCTGTCTGTTGATTCTCTCTATACCATCACATAGAAAAGGTAAAGTTTGAACTACACATGAATTCAATTTCTTTTAGCTCAGGGTTTGGGAAAATGACTAAATCTTTCACTGATCAAAATCTCAAAAAAGTATTTTTAGTCTATATTATTACAAGGAGAAACCCGTCAGGCAACCACCTTAGTAAACAATCACCAGTTTTGCAAGTCAGTTTTGGTTTTAATTTTTTTTTAATCATTCATAAAACAATGTTTTTATTATAGGCCTAATTATAGTTTTATAAGAGATCATCTAATTTCTAAAACATGCCTTTTTGCATCTCTATGCTATACTATGTACCATCAATAAAACAAACTTCACTCATCAGTAAAAAAAAAAAAGAAGAAAATAATAACCTAATACCAGATACAACAACTGCTGTCCTTCCAAAAAACTCATTATTTCAAAGACATTAATTATTAATTTCATTTATTACACACAGTTGATATATATATATCTATCTATCTATCTATCTATCTATCTATCTATCTATCTATATATATATCATAGATAAGTCAACAAAGATCCAGATGATGCAACCTTTTTGTTTTAAAATCTCTGCTAAGCCAGATTCACGTGTAGATCTAGTCATAGTCAGATTGATTAAAATTAAACTTCACCTAGATTAGTTGCCATATATATTTCATTGCAAAAATCTAGTAGAAGAATATCGTAAAGTAAACCTGTTGGTAAACTAAGAAAATCATCAAAATTTACCTCACTTACAAGAGAATCTAAAATCTAGAGATCTAAACTCAGTAATCAATTATAAATTAAGACTTTGGTATAGTTGTCTAATCGCAATTGGGCCCAATTCAGGGATTTGTCTCTAAAGAAGTCGAATCTCCGCTAATGAATTGAAAGTACCAAGAGATTGATATATTCTAGACTTCCGAAAGAGTTTTCTTCTATCCATATTTTTAAACCAGTAGGCCCTACTTCTTTTCATCTCACATTATAAATTATCGGAGTTTTTGGCAATGTACACTGTAGAAATTACCCTTTCGTAAAGTATACTGTAAAGTCTTTACATGTCTGACACTTTTGACTACTGACAGAAGGATTAGATCTGTAGATCTAATGGTTACACTCAAGACACGGTAGATCTAGTTAGTACATATGATATTAGATCTATAGTCTAGATCTAGTAATAATCTAGAGTCTAGAGAATAGATCTGTAGGTGGATCTCCTCCTGGTGGAGGACTTGTGAATATTATTCCTGTGAATAAATCAGCATCTTCAAGACTTGTATTTTTACTACTTGAACTAAAGCTAGATCTAGATCAAAATCTAGATTCCAGATCTAGATTCAGTTACTAAGACCTTGCTTTGCAAAGCGAATCTGTACGGGAAAACAGAAAAATGATGACAATACTAGTCTCACAAACGATGACATGAATTGAATGGAAGAATAATAATGATGATGACATTTTATTTTTTACGAGTTCTGTTTGTTGTGAGTCCGTAAATTTACTCGTTATATCGCAGTGTGTCTCAAATTGAATTATCTATGCCAGGGCATGATAAAATAAAATCGTTTCAACAATTCGTGACAGCAATCTACTTACCCTCTTTAACGCGGTGGAAGACAAGGTTTTGTGTCGGCTCCCTAGTTTATGATAAACACCTTTTGACGTCAAAAGCATCGCAGCAGCGACACCGATGACATCAAGGGAGATAAGGCAAAAAAATCAATAAGTACCTTCGTTAACAAAAAGAATCCAAGTTTTCCTTTGGTCATTTTTTAAATTCGTACAAATATAAATGCAATTTCAGTAATTTTACATTGTCTTGTTCTTGTACATGTTTTGCGAAGAAAACAGTTATACATTGTACTAATGTTTACTGTAGATTGTAACATAATCATCGGCCTAATACATGTTGTCCATTCATGGAAGGAAACGAAGTCAAATGAGACAGTGCTGAAAGAAGCCGGTATGGGCCATTCACTTTTATTTTAGACTTATGAGAACAGAACACAAACATTCTCTAAGACATTTGAATCGACATAAATTTACAATAGAGTCTAACAGTGCTCACCATCTTGCTATCACTGGGAAAACAGAATGCAGAAGAGACAAGGGTAAGCGAAGAACAGCTTACTTTTGAATAGATGGATGACGTGGAAGACCAAGATAATACGCCCTATAGGTCTTTTGAGAGCATAATCCCAGTTGAGAATTTATAAGTGGTAAACCATGCATTGAATGCGACAAGCCTAGCATTATTATTATTATTATTATTATTACTACTACTACTACTACTACTACTACTACTACTACTACTACTACTACTACTA